TATCATTGTCCTCGTCCTCATTGTTGGTATCAACGTCCTCCTCCTCCTCCTCTATAGCCATGAGGCCCTTTTGCTCGTCAGCGGTGATGCGGTGGCCACCTGCTCAGCATCGGCACAAACTAGGTTGTGCCAGTGCTTCTCGATGTTGTGGGCAGTGTTGATTCCCTACATTGTGATGCTAGTGTCGAAGCCATCTATCCGGCTCCGTAGCAGGCGAGCATGCACTCTACGTTGTCTGCGCGATTCTTGTTCAGGTAGGCTGGTAGTTCTTCTAGGACATCGGCGAGTTGGTGAAAAATGAAGATGTAACTGCTCACCTTTTTAACCTGAGGCGGGGTGAGGGTGCCCAGATTGGTATTTTCTACCACACACTTGATATTCCAGAAAGCTTTACTCATGATGCCAATGGCCCAATTATCTCTATCTCCAAAGGGATCCACCGGAGCTTCATCTTGATTCACCACGGCCATGGTGTCATCCTCCTTCACCATGGGCATGGCGTCATCCTCCTTCACCATGGGCATGGTGTCATCCCCCTCCTATGTGTGCTTCACAGAAGGCTTGCCCTTCACCATGGTGGTGACTAAGAGTGAAGTAGGTTTGGAGAAGGCAACCACACGTTCCTGGCGATTTTAGATCTGCAGTGGGAATGGGAGGGCTCAGGGAAGGAAGGAAAACAAGCGGAGTTGCGGAAGAGATCGTGGTGGTTAATGTATCACTACTATAGAGGAGCCAATGGTATTTTTTGAACAAAGAGGAGTCATTGGTGTTGAAATGTTACTAAACACACAAGAAAGTCCGATCTATGTAGGTTTGAACACATCTGACACACTACACAGACCTTAGCTTACATTACAAACAAATTAAAGTTGTTGCAAAATAATGACAACATCCATCCAAGAGGAAATTAAAATGTCCATAGACAATCAAACAATATTGATCCATTTAAACATGTCATGACAGAGAGATACATCAAATGCAGCTTTATTTACTACTTTGCTAATGACTCCAACTCAGAGAACAAGGGAACATAGTAAGGTCTGCCGATGAAGTCTGGCATGACATCACGTCTATCATATGGAATGTAATGTGTAGGGATGACATGAACTTTTCTGACGTCCATGTTATATGCGATGACGACACTTTCCTCCCCAACCCCAACAAACAAAATCAAATTTCATTATGGGTGAACTATAACCGTTGAGTAGCTCGACTCAAGATCCAAGTAACCAAATTGAACCTTAGTCTTTGCAAACACCTTACGTATGCTGGCAGTATGCTTCAATGTTCATTTATTAGTACCATAGTCTTCAAGTATCCAGATTGAAAGCTTGGACATATTGCGACCACTAACAATACATTCACATAAGTGACCCTGAGCTTGATGAATATAGTGTCTGAAACCACGCGCCCTATTAGGAATTTTCCTCCATGTCTTTCCCTCTATATCCACAGCAAGTATATGATGGCCACCCCTCACGTACCCCATAAAGTGTAGACAACCATTAAAAAACATAGTTTCTGATTTTTCAAATGTCACCTGAGCCACCTCACCCCATTTGGATTCCTTAAAGATCCATGCTACAGTTTTAGATGAGTACATGTCCAAACCCACGCACTCACCATCATCATCCTCCAAATATTCAATCACATGGAAGTGCGAAGAAGCTATCAGATCGAACCCCAATCGAGCCTCACCAATAGAATGGATGCTAAGCTACAATACCTTCAACTTCTAGGTTGTCGGATTGCAGACGACATAGCGGTATCCATCAGCCCCAAGGCACCAGCATAGGATGAGGCCGTTGTAGCAATCTGAGACAGCTATATTGTTGAAGGTGAAGGGCAAGAAGGACACGGAGGGGTGTTCACCGGTGATGCTGGTGTAGTGTCGATGGCCGTTCTCATTGTTGTAGAAGAAGCCGGCCATAGTCTGGGGCATCAACTTATTGTTGTCCGAGATGAGGCGTTTCTAGGAGCGATAGACACATTTGCAGCGGAACAAGGAGCGGGCGGGGAGGTGGCGGAGGATCTCAATAACGACATCGTCCGTGAGGCTGGCTAGTGCGTTCCTCTTGTTGGGGGCCTCCTCCATTTTGTCAGTATGCAGTAGGATGAGAGCTTCTCAGTAATGAGATCACCAAGAGGAAAATAATCCAACAAAGATCCATCAGTGAAATCCACAACTCATATCAAAGTATAACTTTAACAACCATTAACAATTTTCATGGTATGACCTCATCTAAATTTAGAGTAGCACCACATAGATATATATAAGTCAAACTAGAGTAGCAGTTAATAGAGTTGTAACCATTATAATTTCAGCTAAATCAAGTCTAACCATTACACTTACAATCAGTACATGAGCTCAGAGCTTCTTCCATAGGAGACAGACAAAGATTAAGAGGACTACAATTACAAGAGTTTTGAAGGAGAAAGAGGGTGGAGCAGCTGTTGGGTTTTGAAGACAGAAGTCATCATCATGAGCTAAGGGTGGATTTGAGTTGATTCTTGACTTGAAGGTAGCAATTCCATCTTCATAGGAGTTGTACTTTTTATAAGAACCACCAAGAAACCTATGAACTTGTTCCTGGCAGTCAGGTCAGTTATAGTAAACTCCTGGCTGATAGCCGTTGAACACAACATAGCAGGGACTCATCACAAATCTGCAACACCAAACAGGCTGCCTCAGTTTTCACAAGTTCAAAATACCATAAGGACTCACTGGTGGCACTAGAGCATACGAAACAAAAATATAGAATCAAGCAAGCACTGGACAGAAAAACTAGTTTAAGGTAGAAGCAAAGGGCCTGTTTGTTTGCCTAGACAGATAGGTATAATCAAGCTAGCACTTGATAATTAATAGGCCTAGTTGCACACAAACTTTTACAGTAAGAACACTGAACATATGCATAAAACCAAGACATCAGCAGAAACCAACTAGTGCCACCTCCTAGTTCTTTTCATCATCATTGGCCTAACCAGATCTTCAATGCTAGAATGTTTCTTGTATAGCTCATGTTCAAGCAAGGACCAAAACAGTGAAGCGAACAGGAAAAGGAGAGAAAGGAGACCTACAGATCAGATCTGTCGCCTTTGCTACGGCACACAACTGACACGGACGCCAATGCTGCCGCGCTCCACCGGGAAGCACCACCGCCTAGCCTCCAAAGGATGCCTTAGCCATCATAGCAGACCGGGGATCCTCTGCATCCGCGTCCACCGCCATCGCCGCAAGTCCAGCGGGCACAGATTCGTTTCCACTTGCAAGAGATATCCAATTCAGGTCAACCTATAGGGCATCCACATAGACAATAGGTACTATAGGGACTCCAAAGAGATATCAGCACATCCAGGCGTCTAGCGCAATAGTAAAGACGTTCCATTCCTTGGTCCAGAACCCGGGTTCGACTCCCAGGTATCATATCTTTTTTGAGAAATTATACCCCGGTGACACACACGGTACAAGTGACACGCAAGCCGTTGAGTCCCACAGGTCGGATGGAGATGGAGAACGGTCCCATAGGTACACGTGATGGAGATGGAGAACAGTCACACAGGTACACGTTACACGTAAGCCGTTTGGTCCCACAGGTCGGATGCAGAAGGGTCCCGCGGGTACACATTGGATTGAGAAAGGACCGAGCGGAGATTTTTATGACAAATTGCAAACGTCACGGATGAGTAACTACAGGTCCCACACATAACTGCAGGTCCCACAGGTACACGTCGGATGGAGAAAGTACCGAGCGGAGACTTTTATGACGAATTGCAAGCATCACGGGTGAGTAACTTCAGGTCCCACAGGTACACGTCGGATGGAGAAAGGACCGTGTGGAGATTTATGACGAAGTGTCGTTCGTTATAGATCGAAAACTTCATCACAGATGTGTAATTAATTCAATGACGAAGCCCTGGTCGTCATAGTTCTAAAGAGGTTCGTCACTGATGAGCAGGAACAGTCGCGTGAGGTTTTTTTTGTGATGAACCCTGTGCTGTTCTATGACGGTTTTGTGTGACGGTGCCTGATTTCGTCATAGATAGGGAGGACTGGAGGATCGTCACCACTGATCTATGACGAAACGTGAATATTCGTCATAGATAGCGATCTTTTATGACAGTTTCGGATTCATCATTAAGATTTTCATCATAGAAGTAGATATTTCTTGGCGTGGGAGGGGTGAGCCTACCTTCTGGAGCCCCTTCATGTGCCCTCCTCACAGTATGAATAGTTCATTTGCGTCCACGTTCCTCTAGTTCTAGTTTTCTAGTGCTACTGTATGGGTGAAGCTTTGATTGTTGTAGGAGGCTGTACTCGCTCATCTTAGATGATGATCCTCGAGTTCACATTGTTCTTATATATGGTTTTCCTCTACACAACTTTACACGTTGTTATTGGATATATGCGTGGAACTAAAGTGAAACCTGAGAGCATTATAATATTATTGGATAAATTGAAGGATAAGGGATTGGGATTGGGATAATTAGTAGTAGTAGTCACTAGGGTATGATGTATTGAGCATCCTACCATATAACTTAGTATAATACATTAATACTTGTGTGTTGATTGGTATTGGTAGTAAAGAATAGAGGCTTACGAACTACAATTGGAAGTGTTGCTCTACTGTTTACAAACGGTGGTTTATTTCTGCCCAGGAAAAAACAGTGGTTTATCTCTCTTTTTATGAAAAGTATGTGTGTACTGATAAAAGGTATGTGTTCGACAAACACTTACACTTCTTTCACAAAGTAACTTGAGGTATTCAATAAGTCTGTGATTATTATATGTTTCATGAAAGAAAACCAGGTCATTAAAGTCCCCTAGATGAACACCTCCTGCACATTTAATCCTCAATCAATTCACTCGTAACTCCTAGCACAATAAAGAAAAAATAAAAGGGTGTTACCATTCGCAACTCTTGTTTACTGCAGTTTCCTTCCATATTTCTCATTGTACCCTTCACTAGCACGCTAGGCTCGAGAGAGAAAGAGGTGTGGAAATGGAAGACGATAGGAAAAGAACCAGGCTGCGCAAATCCTTGCAGCTCTACCTCTCCAGGACGCTCAAGAAGATCCCTCCAATCCACATCCCCAGCTCAGCCATTCCAGCTAACATCACCAGCGCGCGCCTCCTCTCCACCTGCAGGTTCCCAAGAACCCCGTCGCTGGATTTGGACGCCGATCACGCCGCCGCCGCCCGCCAGTGCGGACGACAACAGCAAGGACCAAGCGGCGACGCTCTCCGACGTCGACCGCTTCCTCTTCGACAACTTCCGGTCCCTCTACATACATGACAACAACGATCCATCATTATCGGTAGGCACATCGACATCAGTCGTCAACGGCACACCACCAACATCGGAGACGTCATCTTCCTCAGAATCGGCCTCAGAAGACATCAAGGAAGCTAGGTCAGGTGAGGAGGGTGGCGACAGCGCGACCATAGTGGTCTTCACCATGGATCCTTACACAGACTTCCGGAGATCCATGCAGAACATGATAAAGTTGCACCATGGCTGCGTATGTCAGCCATTGGATTGGGACTTCCTGGAGGAGCTGCTCTTTTTCTACCTGCAGCTGAATGACAAGGCTATGCACAAGCACATTCTCAGAGCCTTTGCTGACCTGACTGCCGGAACTCACATGTCCAGTTCAACCCCTGGAAATGCCCAGTGGGCTAACAAGAGCCTTAGAAGTCGGAAAAATCACTAGGATGAACAACTGTTACTTCATAAATTGACAGCTCAAAGCAAAGAAAGATTTGCGGTATCAGGCTATGGGCCTGTTTGGTACAGCTTATAAGCTGCTTATGGCCAAAATAAGCTGAAATCAACAGTTAAACGTTACGTTTTTTAGCAGCTTATTTTGGCCACGCTTATTCCCACAGCTCCCATTTATATTAAAAAAACAGAAGCTGGATCAGACAAGCTTATTTTGACCACCGCTTTTTACTCTATTTGTGCAGCTTATCTAGAAAGCGCTTCCCAGATAAGCTGCACCAAACAGGGCCTATGTAGCCTGATCACCTAACAAACATAGCAGCATGCAAATAGAGCTGCACATAAAAGCTTAAACACATCATTTATGCTGAAACCGACATGTTGTAGGTTGGCAGCTTGGAATATATTTTTTAAATTAACTTCCACCCGAACCAAATATCCAGAGCATAGAGCATAGGATAGGCTCCATTTTTCCATAGTACAACTAAAAATTACTCCCTCCGTTATAAATTATAAATCATTCTTGATTCTCTAGGTACATAGCTTTTACCATATCTAGATGCATAACAAAAGTTACCTAGAATAGTCAAAATGGACTTGTAATTTTGAAAAGGATGGACTATGGAGTACTATTTTCATTCTATTAATTTATTGACACCACCCACAACTAAGAGACTGATTGTGGTAAACTATAAGTTAGTACACCAAACTATCAGGTTAATCAGTCACATAGACAACTATGGTGTCCCAGATTTTAAAACTCTACATTTATCTTTGATGTCTCCCATGGTTCTACTTAATGGCATCCATTCAGAGTGTTTTGTGCTTGGTCTTCAAGAGTACACAGATCCGAAACAACAAGCAGCATCCTGCATTTCACCATTCAAGTTTCAGAACTTCATCTGCAAGCGCAAAAGGCAACCCTCAGGAAACCCTTGTCATACTATAGAAAATAATAATCAATAATCAATATAGAGGAGGATAAAATTTTATACTATGTATTGTTTGAGCAACATGGAGATAAAAAAAAAAGAGGAACCTAGTTAGTTAACCCTCCTAACAATTTTACAGCATACCCCCAGAATACTTTAGTTCATGATCTAATCAATCATCGTTAGGGGGGTGCTCATGATATTGTATTGTTCTGTCTAACAAGAAAGTATCTAAATGTCATTTCTTGAGTGACATATCAAACGGTGTACTTCTATTACCTAGAAAGCATAATTCCAATTATAAAGAGAAGATAATACAGCCACAAATTAGTAACATCTAGACAAAATAAAGCACTGCTTCTGGAAGTTCATCATCTATATTCAGTAAGCTAAACCCAGCCATTCTGAAGTTTGATGATTTGATCATATGAAAAAAAATCCATAGAAAGCCTGCGGTTATCAGCAATAAAAAACAGAGAAAAACAGGATGCCTTTTTGTCAAAGGAACTAGATAGACCTTTATTTTTCAGAAAAAACAGGGGAAAAGTTAAACTTCATGCTGGCATAAACATGAAGGATTGCTAAACAGTGTGGAGCACTGGTCAGGCCCAATGGCAACTAGAGATTAACAGTGTAACTAGAAACAATATAGTAGTCCAGATTTCATTTCCAAATTAAAAAAAATGTTTACTATGTTTGAAATGATCAATGGATACTCTACTTATATGCTTAACAAGCTTAAATGGAGTTTTGTCATGTCCATTTCTTTTCCTCAGATTCCAGAAGCGCCATATGGCATTCCAAAAGTAAATGCATGCACCTCAAGAATCTGATAATGTCCTGTTGACAAACAGTTACGTGTTGATAACAACCAGCACTGTAGTTATCGCTTAATGAAAACATGACACAGAAACATAAAGTGAATATGCCTGCGAACATAGCAGAAGTGGTTGTCATGAACTACAAACACTATATCTTCGAACAAGCTGCTCATATAATGGAAGATGGTTCTTTGGAACAAAAACCCTGAACCTGTAAAGCAAACATGAATGACAATTAAGCATAAACAAAGGTGTAATAACACAAGGGAACAAACAGCAAAGGAAAAGCCAAAAAATACACGAAATTGCCAACAAGAGTAATGTTACCCTTCAAGAAGTGGAAGTTTTCCTGGGGACGAAAAAAGCTTTGTTATTGCTTCAAGTGAGTCCTTGATATGCATAGTTTTCGATTTTAAGGCCTTCATATATTCAACATACTCTTTGTACTCTGCGCAACTAAGCTTTTCTTGAGCCTAGCAAACATTGAAGGAATACAATTATCTCATGCAAATACTGAAAAGATTTACATATTAACAAATTGCACTGATTCTGCAAAGCACGAAATGGGATCAAACTACAGTGAAATAACAGCATACCAGCTTCAAGAACGCTAGCCCTGAGTTAGATTCCTGGCCTTCAGACTTTTCACAGGTTGCCTCATTCTTTCCGCATGCTGTTGTTGTAGTGCTTTTCTTTGGTTCAGGTGTAGATCCTTCATATTGGTATCTGGCCAAAGCTCTTGACCCTATATTTTGAGGCAATTTTGAAGAGACATCTGAGCCAACAGCATCTTTGGATCTGTCTGTTGTTTTAGCTTTCTTAAGCCCTAAAGACTTGAATGTGTGTTCCTTCAGATGCCCTTGTATTGGCAAATCATCAGTCATATCAGCAACCTTGGTATCCTGTGACAGTTGGTCTTCTGAGAAGTTGTGATTCGTAGATGTAGATGTAAAGTTGTGCTTTGTAGTAAGGGTTGAACGATTAGCAGGAGTGATCTGAGCCAACTTCATGAAGTTACTTCTTCTCATGGTTGAATTTCCTGATAATGTGATTTGCGGGCATTCATCTTGTGCACTGGCAGCCTAGCAGAAGGAAGGCAGCATCTGTAAGCTCCAGAGGCATTAAACTTAAATCTTGATCAGCTATGTCAATGCAAAGGATGTACCAAATCTGATAGTTTCTCTTTAGGCATGTGTTTGCTTGCTACTGGTGCTATACAATCTGCATGTAACGACATTATGCAATGAGTTGTAAATAAATAACAATTACTAAGAGAAATAAAAGAAGCAGCACACAAGTGTAGTAATTTAAATGCCAAAAGTTTGTATTGCATTCCCTCAACGAAATTAGACAAACATTCAGTAGAAGAGAGCTGGTATTATGCTGCTTGACCTTGACTATCCTATTCTATAAATAGAAATAAAACCAGGCTGTATAGCAACCCTTTCAGTGGTCATAAATATAAGAAACCGAAAGATGTATCAGTCATGAGTTAAATATGTACTAAGAGTAAATTACACTGGAAGTCCTCAAGGTTTGGGGACCTAGATATACAATTTCATAGTTTGGGGACTTAGATAAAAATTGAGAATAGCCTAATAGTTTGAGGACCGCTAGTGTAATTTACTCTACGTACTAATGTGCTAGTATTCTTTCTTAGTCTCTTCTAATTTTAATAGTCACAGCTCGAATCATAATTTCAAATCTACAAATGAGTTTGAATGTAGTTCAAAATATATTCAAATTTGCAAAATTCGTTTTCCATAATGAGCGCATCATGAAGAACTGCAAATGGCATTTTGCAATTATAATAATACACGAGCAGATTTTCCACAGCTTGGTGGTGTAAGCCCATAGGGTCGTCAATTTGGTGGCGCAAGGCATCAACTATTCCCTTATCCCCAGGGGCTGATTTCAGATAGGTTCTTATAATCTTATGACACTCCTAAGCTGGCAATCTAAAACAGGAGGCAGACTCATCAGGTTCACTGGTCAATTTAAATGATTAAATCAGTGACCATATGGACTGCAAAACCGATAATAATGGCCATAAATCAGCTCTCTATCCCCCGACATAGACATCCTTTGTCAATTTCTGTCTAATGCAATTTGCACCAGCCCTGTATTGCTAGAACTATAGTTGATTTTGCTGATTCAGTCCCATTCTGTTCAAGTTTGTACAATCAAACATTTATATTACACTTTCATTACTTGAATCCTAAACTACCTACAAACATCTAAATGGGTCCTTACGAACATAAGACCAGTGAATTAATGACACTCCTGCTAATTTGGAGACGTGGACTATTACTTTAGGTTTGACAGGGTAACTTGCTAGATAACCTTAATGATATATTAATGAGGAAAATTTTACATCAACTAACATCAACATGTCAGCTAACAAAAAAGCTGTGAAAAAACCCATATTCACAGCAGAACATGTATCATTAACAAGTACACTGGATTGTTCTAGAGAAACAAAGTACACCGGATTAAGTTTCAAATTTAAATAAATATGTGTGAACTTGCATATAAATAGATGGAAAAAAAACATATAAAAGAAGTTTATCACAGTATTCAAAACTAGACTTACTATTACAATCTGTTGGCTCTAGCAACAAAGGATCTGAAGAAGCTTTATCTCAGAAAAAACCGGGTCAATCCTTTGAGTAGCACTGCAGAAGGAATATAAGCACAGGAAAGAGCACTGTAGGAAGACAGTAAATCAAAAGTACCTTTATATGAGGTCAGAGCCAATATGACATCTGAGATTGATAATTTGGCCACGCAAACCTATAACCAACATACAATGAGAAGTAGCTCTGTTAATAAATGCAACCAGTTCTGGAGAAGTTTGACCGAAACAAGCAACATGGCTCAAAATGCAAAACCATGTACAGCCTTCCTACACGTCTTACCTCATAGGATTTCATAGTGATGGACATCCTTGGGCATATGGTGACTTTGGTCTTTGGCTTCCATTGAGGGGAGCCTACAACCCCTTGCTACATGTCTTACCTCATAGGATTTCATAGTTGTTTTAACCAAACAGCTTACAGTTTTCCCACAGCATATAGCTCACAGCAGATCTTTCACAGCTGACAGCAGCTTTTGCACAGCTCACAAAATCGAGCCTAATAGACCATGGTTGGCATTTCCTATCCAAGTTCATAACTCAGTCAGGAACTTCTTTTCCATAGCAATATTTGCAGAAGTTGGAGATGGCGCTACTACACTTTTTTGGACAGATAGATGGATACATGGGCAGCAAGTTGCTAATCTTGCTCTGCAAGTTTTTGCACTTTTGAGAAGAAGAAGCGCAAAGTGTCGGGGACCAATACTAGGGTACCCGAAGAGGAGGAGCTAATGACCATCAACATTGATTCATCCGAGCAGCAGGGGCGTGACTACAGCTCCAATCGACCCCAGGCGCACAGGCTCCGACTCACCCGATCTCTGGGGGCGGGCTCCGCCTCGTCCGACCCCGAGGCCGCGGGCTCCGTCTTGTTCGACCTCTGGGGGCGAACTCCGCCTTGCCCGACCCCTGGGGGCGGGCTCCATCTCGCCCGACCCCAAGGCCGCGGGCTCCGCCTTGCCCGACCCTTGGGTTCGCGCTCCGGCTCGCTCGATGGAGACCCATACCCCGCCAACCACTCCAGATCCAAGCGTATGGCCATGGGTCAAAACTCTGACGTTAAGGAAGACACCGGCACGCCCTGATGTAACCCATGGCCATGACGGGTCATACCTGAGGATTCACATCAAGAACAAAGATCGGGTGTGTGCGGGTCGCATTCGCCTAACCTCGCAGACGAACACTAACAAGTAGTGTCGATTCACCACCACGATGCCCGCCACGACGCAATGGAGTGTCATGACCGGCAGATGACGCCTGCGTATGGCGCCAGTGACAGACAGGGCCGCGACGTGGAGCCGTCCCTGTTGACATCAACAGGGGCGGCGGGACCCGCGTGATGGAAAAAAGGACCCGACGATCCTAGAAGCATTCTGCTCTCTATTTCTTCTCCTTCTTTCTCCGCTGTAATCCGTGCTTTACCTTGGCCTATAAAAGGAAAAATAGGACGCCCATGAAGGGGATCGACCCATGGAGGACCGATCAAGCCAATCCACGAGATAACAAACACACGAGCACACAGCTGAGGAGCAATCGAGCTCTCAGCACCCTTTCACCCCTTTCATCAGAGACGTGGGATCATTTCCCTCTCTCGTCCGTTTGTAACCCCTACTGCAAACTTTCAGTGCTAGTAACACGAGCAGCAGCGACGAACTGGGCGTAGGGACATTCTGTCCGAACCAGTATAAACCCCGTGTCCTCTAAGCACACCATCCGATCCAGACGCGCAATACTAGAAATTTACTCGTCGGTGGTAACTCAAAACAACGACAGTTGGCGTGTCAGGTAGGGTCATTTTGCGCGTCTCGACATCCACACCAGGCCTCGAATGGCTATTCACGACGTCAGCTGGGTCCCGGGCGCGCACGTGCGCTTCGGGAACCTAGACTTCATCGTCACGACGAAGGGAGGGTTGATGCAGGCTCCCGCCGCCGTCCAACCTCTCCACTTCACGGCCTCGACGCGATCGCCGAGGCGCTTGAGGAGCTGCAGCTGCACGCACCGGAGGCCCGCACCCCGGGGAGCGACCAGCACCTCGGCTTCGATTACGGGAGGCTAGAGCGCCAGCTCGGCATCTTCCTGGGACCCCGACCGTTCCGGGAGGACTTGCGCCAACTCACCTTCTCGTTCGCCAATGTCATGACGCAGCTTGCCAGAGGAGAGCGGAATACCTCACCCGGAGCGCCCGACAGCGCTCCCGTCCGGTCTGCACAACGTCGTAGAGACCGTTGGCCACCTTGTGGCACAACACACTCCCCCATCCCCCCTACGAACGACGAGTTTGTGGGGATGACCGAATATGTCACAGAATCTTTCCACGACCTCCTCGCAGGAGAATCGGAGTCAGTGCTTCGGAGGTGCTCATAACGGTAGGGTTTGCATACGTGTGTTCATAGGGGTGAGTGTGCGTGCGTGATTGGACATCTGCGTTGTACTGTGTAATTCTAAAAAAAACTATCAATACAGTCTATAATTTTATTTATCAAATCAAACTTCAAAACTAGACATCCTACCCTTCCACTACTAAAATGAAATAATTTAAATTATCCCCTGCCCTAGTTTGGAGTGGTTGTCAAAGTTGTTTCATCCATTTTTTTCAAAAAAAAAGTCTAGTAAGTATCTGATATCTCAATAAGGGCATGTTTGGAACACGTTTTTTTTTTAAATGGTGCTAATTCCTGTAAAATTTCTTTCCAAATCCTATAAAATTCCTACGTTCCAAACTAACCTTAAAATTTAGAGGGACATCTAGATTCCACGCCCCTGTAGGCTAAGAAAAGTTAGGAGTCTAGTTCACGGGACAAAACAAAACATCAGTAAATTGTTTGTGATGTGGAGGAGATTTTAAAAATTCGCATTCTTCTCCTACCCAATAAAGATGTTGCCTGAACTTTGAATTAGCAGGTTCATTCTCTGTTAAGAGCCATAAGGATGAATAAAACGCCATAGGTGTCTAGGTAGTCAAAGCGATATCAATTTTATGTTTAAGGGAGTTATTGGAATTGGACCAGATTGAGCATGCAATCAAACCAGTAAAAACTGGGTGAATACCTGTTTTTAAGCCAAAACAGATAATAACTGGATGCTAAGAACCGTAAAGAACTGGCAAGCTGTGCGTGGGGAGGCGTTGGATGAGTTTTAAACCCATGGCCTCAAAGTATGGAAGGCAAGAATCCACCACCAAGCCATGCTGTTGGTTGTGATTTAGGAATATATTTTGTTGATTTAAATCGGATCGAGTCGGTGGTTCAACATTTGAACCGATCAAACCATGAATCGAGAGGTTTACTCATTCAGTTTCCGGTTTGGTTCCCATAACTATGCTTGAGGAAGGATGACATCCATGCTACATTGGAATGTCCTCACGGCGTGACGTGAGAACAACAGTGAGGGAGTACTTGGCTTTCCTTGACGAAGAATTGCTAGTCCGCTCATGGCTAGGTTGGTTGATATTGATTTGGGATCCAATTCCCTTCGGGATTATTCCTAACCTGCTAATGCTTTTATGGGTTTGTTGGAATATCAATAATGATGTTTTCCAAGTAAGTGAGGGTATCTCCGTTGAGGGATCGATTGATTTCTGAAAGGCTACATGGAGGAATTGTTGTCAATTCGACAACAGACAACCAGGGCTCACATAATAAGAGGTTGCATTTGTCGACTGCTCTTGTTGTTGGGTCTACTATAAGAGTGGAGGCAAGGAAGAAATGAGCTAGGCCTTCAGGACAGCTATGAAGATTAATGCGGGTGGTGATTTCCTTGTGCAAACATGGCAGGGGACACCATTATCAGAGATGACAATGGTGTCTCACTCTTACAGCATGGAGAATCTTGCACCGCTGCATGACACACACATAGCCCAAAGCTCTGACTTGTCTAGAGGGTGTCCATTTGGCAGTGAGGTGACCGAACTGCAATTTTGTTTCGTAAGTACTCCCTGTGTCAAAAAAAAATGTAATTCTCGCTCTACGAGGAGTCAATGAATCTTAAGTTTGACTAAGTTTGTAAAAGATATTATCTACATGTAGATCTTCAATTATGTTTATTATGAAAATTTATTTCATGATTAATCTAGTGATACTTGTTATGCATCATAAACATCACTATTTTATCATATATATTCAGTCAAAGTTAAGAATCTTTGATTCCTAGAAAAGCAAGATTTATGTTCTTTTTAGGATGGAGGGAGTAGACTGTGTGAGGGTGGTGAATCTCCTCCAATATGGGGGAGAATAGGTCATTGGTGATTTCAATTATCGCCGAGACATGCCAAAAGAGCCAAAATCTTTGTAAATTAGTTTTTGAGAAGACAAAGAGCAAATTAAAGTAGTGCATGAGCTCGTGCATCTATCTCTTACTCCATCCATTTTAAACTATAAAACGTTTTAGTTTTTCTAGATACATGATTTTATAATTTGTGATGGACAGAGTAGACTTGTTAATTAAATAAATTTCTCTACCGCCTCCTTAGTTAAAACTAAAAAAACCTGATTCACTTAATAAAAAGGTAAAATAACGTAAACTTTTTATTTTTATAATAGAGGGAATGTATCCAAATCATCATTTATGTAGTTTAAAAAAATGAATTTTGAGAATTCTTTTGAGAGTCGATTTTCGACAACAGACTCTTGCTCGCCAAAAAGGGGAAAAAGAGAGAAGAAAGCGAGAGGTTTTCGGTTTTTGCTGGCGTGGCTCGGCAATCGCCTTCTTTCTCCCCCCCCCACAAAAACGTCCAACACAACCGCACAAGCAAGCAAGCCTGCAAGTCCTGAAATCGAACACTCCAGTACTTCCCCGCACCACGAAACCACTGTGGCTCCTCAGTTCGGTTGGCTGGTTCGTATCGTTGCTGATTCGTGAAGAAGTACTGCTGGCTGGTTTGTGTGAGAGAAAAATATTGTTCCGGCTGAAAATTTACTATAGTTTACGACGAGCTACAGCCAATAGAACAGGCTGAAGCAGCGAATCACCTATCCCCGCGCGAGCACCGCCATGCCCGCCATCGCCTCATGATCCCCAACCCACTGGCCGACGTTCCTCGCCATGGCGGCGTCGGAGCGGGAGGCCGCGCTCCTCACGCGCGTGGCAGCGAATCACCTATTCCTCGCGTAGTTCGAGCCCCTGCGCGCGGTGCTCCTCAGCCTCCGCCGCCGCGCCGACCTAGGGCTCTCTGCGGACTTCCTCCGCGCGGTCGCCGCCGCGGGCGGCCACGTCCCGGGCGTGCTCTGGTCCGCCCCCCCAAATGTTAACTTGGCTCTGGCTTTGGCTAGGGAGGAGGCGCATTGGTGGAGCATGGCAGGAGCCAAGGGACTTTCCATGCTCACTGTTGGAGGTTCAGCCTAAACGACTGATGTAGGGTCGTCTTGTTGGTCTGTCTTAACTGGTGATCTAGTGTCTGTGTAATGGCAAGGGGTGTGTGTGGGGTTTGGGTCTATGTATGACTATTTTTTCTTCTATTAATACAATGATACGCAGTTCTCCTGCGTGTTCGAGAAAAAAAAAACTTAACCCCCTCTAGTAATAAACCAGGTCTTCAACCCCCAAGCCTATTGACTATGAAAAGAAAAAGAAAAGAAAAACTCTTGGGCGGTTCCACTGACATGTGCTTTCTTCTCTCCTACACTTGGAGCCACTGCCAGTTTTTTTATTCTCCTTCTGCTTTCCTTGTTGAATTCACACCTTTCTTTGTGCGTCCGTTGACATCCAAAGGGAGGCAGCAGTGCAGAAACAGAAGACTGGAAATCTTTCACCTGGATGGCCACAGGATATAATTTCCCTAACCCCCAGCTAAAAGATGAAATATCTGCTCAACAGATCATGAAGCATTTGTTACACATACATTAGCTGTTTCAATGGAATTTTAAGTAGATGAACAACAATACCTGAGAGGGGTTAAGTATTCCTAATTGGAAAATATGGACTGCAAAGTGCAGAGGACGACTTGTATGACTGACTCTTAACTGATTGAGTAACTAATTCAGTGACCGCTTTCTTTTATGGGTGCGTATCCTGTGAAAACCAGACAGAAGTTGGAAGCTTGAAAACCCATCCCAAAAACGTACTTTGAAGTCTTGCAGTTTTTTTAAATTTGGCACAAAAGTCTAGAAGAGCTTAGGCTTGGTAGAAGATGAAATGTGAACAGTCATTATACTTAAATAAAGGTACTTTAGCGGATTCACTCCACCTACTGGTCTTTTTGAACCCTATATACACACCCATTACCCTGTTGTATTGGAACAATTGCCTTCTATTTTCATTAATTGACAGTAAAGAATAAGGTTTTTTTTTGGGTAAGAAACAGGTCAGCGCTTTTATAAGACTCTAGGTTTTCAGATATTTTTGTTTGTAATTGAACGCTTGGCTTTGATCTGTAATTGACAATATGAAAAGTAAAATATATTTACCAACCAATTTGCAGCTGTTATTAGGGGGTCCATATCTCAATGGATGAATATTTTCTAGGCTTTCAGATATTGAATACCTTTTTGTCCTGACTCTTGAGTGAATTTGTAACCTCAGATTAAACTTTCTTTCTTGTGTAACATAACAAATGATAAATGTGCATTAATTTTATTGGGTACTCCTGGTTTTCTGCTAGCAGCTTATGTGGGTGACTGTCTAGATAACATTCAATGGAACGTGGCATTGGCAAGCCCTGCTCGGTTCCATGGTTTCATGTTTGACCATAAATTTTGGGCATCAGAGTGAAATAACTAACAATTATCATGGTGCATGATTCAGCAGTATTTAAAATATATCTGAAAAGAAATATAAACTTAGTAAGATGCCACACATAAATGAAGATGTGTTTGTGAAGACATTAAATGGATTTGCATTTGTACATGAAATGAACTCTTATTTTGTTATTGTAGTGTCAAGACGACGATAAATTCATTTTTATTAATGTAATTTATCGTCTTTATGCATATGGTGCCAGTTCTCTAACAAGTTTGTTTTGGCATGCAGCTATTAACTCGTCTAGTTTTTGAGCGTGGAAGCACTGATGCAGCGGCAAAGGTCAAGGTTGCTGACACAATGGGTGTTGATTTTGTGCATGAGATTATATCAGCATGTGTGCCACCTGTTTTACCTCCACGAACAGGACAAGGATGGGCTTGCATTCCTGTTATACCTACCATTTGTAATATTAGTTCAGAAACCAGACTATGCGCCATTCCAAAGTCTCTTCTTGCTGCTCAAGGATGGACTGCACATGATTCGTCCTCGTCTTCTCTTCAAGAACCCCTCTATCCTCTCCAATTAAATTTAGTGACGCATTTGGCCCAGTTATCTTCAGTAAGAGCAGTTTTGGCATGTGTATTTGGAAGTAGCATACTATCTGGGGACAATGAATCATCTCCTACTAATGTGAAAGATTCAACACAAGCTCCTGAAACTGAGAGGTCATTTTTTGAATTTGCTCTTGAGCAATCAGAGAGGTAATGATTAGGCATTTTAAACTATCACATGCTAACCTGTTTCATGTTTTAACTATCAAAAAGTTGCTTGCAGATATCCAACCTTGAACCGGTGGATACAGATGCAATCTAATCTTCATCGAGTATCCGAGTCTTCTGTAACAGATAAACCCGAAGTCTCTTTGCATCAGTCCAAAGGAAAGTTTTGTATGAAGCGAACCCGTGAGCCTGACAGTGATGGTGAATCAGAGCTTGAAGAGGCTGTCATAAGCGGGAACACCACTTCAAGTTTGCTAGAATCCACTAAACATGAAGACACTAGGCTAGAGCCAACAACTTTTATTTCATTTGATTGGGAGAATGAAACACCATATGAAAAAGCTGTTGAGAGGTAACAGGATTTCATGTGTTTTTTTCCTATCATCTGTTTTGTTCTGCATGAAGGGCGGGCCTAGTGCAAGCGGTAGAGTCTTACCGCCTGTGACTGGAAGGTCCCGGGTTCGAGTCGTGGTCTCCTCACATTGCACAGGCGAGGGTAAGGCTTGCCACTAACACCTTTCCCAGACCCCGCACAGAGCGGGAGCTCTCTGCACTGGGTACGCCCTTTTTGTTTTGTTCTGCATGTTGAGATTTTCTCATTTGCAGGGCAGATACTTGCTACTGTTGTGCATATGCATATAAACTCTTGTTTTGCATTGATGTTTCACCTGTAAAGGGTATATGTCCATTTTACCTTTATGGATCCCGTTTTCTTTTTTGTTATTTTGGCTGGAACTCTGAAAATGGCTTTTGGTGAATTGCCTCTGAAATAAGCTGCACCTATATAAAATCAAGTCATGAGTAATTTTTCACATTTGGGTGTCATCTTGCTAGCATGCATTTTCTTTATAGCAGTCATCCCTTCGTGAATATGGCATTTGAAGAAAGACAACAAACATTTTCCAAAACTTTCAGCACACTGAAAAGGCTATCCATGATAATCTTTATGTGAAGATTGGTTGTAATGTGTCTCTGCAGGCTAGTTAGTGAAGGAAAACTATCTGATGCTCTTGCCGTGTCTGATCGTTGTTTGCGCAATGGAGCATCTGATAATTTGCTTCAGTTGCTCATCGAACAGAAGGAAGAAAAAGGTCACGTCACAGGACAAATTCATGCATATGGATCTCACAATCTTGGGAACAATACTTGGCAGTACTGCTTGAGGCTGAGAGACAAAAAATTTGCAGCTCAGCTTGCTCTAAAGTACCTGCGCAGCTGGGACCTTGATGCTGCGACCAATGTCCTAACTATGTGCATGTGCCACTTACCTGAGAATGATCCTATGCGCAGTGAGGTAGTTTCACTTGCATTTATTCATATTTGAAGTTAAAAAAATATCTGAAAATCATACTGTATTCTCTGTCTGATTGAACCATGATTATACATGCCAGCTAAAGATGTTTCAATACATATAGCTTAAATGGCTTATCTAGCTAATTATAGTATTTCACATGACAATCTGTGGTTGAGTGCTGTAGAGATCTGTCACGCCATAGGGCAACTATTTTATTTCTTTATAATTTTGGCTGCATCATTTTGTAACAGGTGTTGCACATGAAGCAATCTTTACAGCGGTATGGTCATATCATGAGTTCTGATGACCACTACACCAGATGGCAAGAGGTAACCTGATATGTTCTTTTGCTGCATTATTGGAAATATAAATTCATTTTCTTATCATAAAGACAAACTTTTTTTCTCGAACATGTCTTTCTTATCATAAACTATTCTTGAATATTGTTAGGTCGCAGCTGATTGTGAAGATGACCCAGAGGGCTTGGCACTCCGTCTTGCTGCCAAAGGAGCTGTTTCTGCTGCTTTGGAGGTTGCTGAAAGTGCCTCTTTATCAATTGATTTGCGGAGGGAGTTGCAAGGCCGCCAGCTTGTCAAACTGCTAACCACTGATCCACTTAATGGTGGAGGCCCAGCTACAGTTTCAAGATTTCTGTCAACCTTAAGAGATTCCAATGATGCTCTTCCTGTAGCCATTGGTGCTATGAAGCTATTACCTGACCTGCGTTCAAAGCAGCTTCTTGTATGTTGGCAGACCTGGTCACATTTGTAAATGCACTAAAGCATGTCCCGAGATGACACTCCCTTAATTCTGTTTCAGGTGCATTTCTTCCTCAAGCGTACAGTTGGGAATCTATCAGATGCTGAGTGCACGGCTTAATTTGTGGGCATTAGGTCTCCGTGTTCTTTCCTTATCACCATTGCCATCGCAACAGCGTTGTTCTTCTCTGCACGAACACCCTCAGTTGATCGTAGAAGTACTTTTGATGATGAAACAACTCGAGTCTGCTTCTTTGGTATACCAACTTGACTATTTTTGTTCTTGTTTGCTCTCATCTCTATTAAATCTTGAAAAAAAAGCATTTTATCTTATTTCTGCAGTGAGCCATGAAAGCTGTTTTACCTGTACTTGTGTGTGCTCACTTGTTTATGCTGCTGTGCTAATGGAAGGTTTCTTATTTTGTGGCTGCAGATTTTGAAAGAATTTCCTTCCTTGAGGGATGATAGGTTAATTATTGCATATGCTAAAAAGGCAATCTCCATTAATGTTAGCTCAGCTCCTAGGGAACGCCGACTGAATATCTCTGCATCAAGGGCAAAACAAAAAAAGGCCACAACTCCAGCTAAAACAAATTTTGTGCAAAGTTTCGGTAACTTTCAGAGAGAAGCACGCAAAGCGTTCTTATGGGTCCCCCGTGATAGTGGCACTAAAACACCCCCAAAAGATATTGTTCGGAAAAGAAAGAGTTCAGGCTCTGGAGGTGATAGATCCTCTTGGGAAGCAATGCCTGGTTTACAGGAGGAGCGGACACCTGTATATCCTTCTGAGGGGCAAGAAAGAATTCCTTTTGTCTCTGCCCCTGATGAGTGGGTGCTGACGGGAGACCCTGACAAGGATGACACAACTCGTTCATCCCATAGATATGAAACCTCTCCAGATATCACACTGTTCAAGGTAGATCTTTTATTCCATATCACAGTGTCAAGCTTTTATGCTCTGCAAATGCTAATAATGTTCGTTAATTTTATTTGCATTGCTCTATATTTTCTTCTCGAACTTGCACTGGTCTAAATTGTCTCCTGCAGTTTTCTTTTTCTTGTTAGGCATTAAGGACCTAGCTAGTTAGCTTTCTAGCACTGTAATCTAACTATTCTGACTTCTTGATAGGTTGTATTGTTTCGACCTACATTAGTGTTTTGCTAAATTGAACTTGGTTTTATTTATTCTTGTCAAAAACACTGTTTTCTAGTTATGTTTGTTCAACTGTTCTTGTATGGTTTTATGTAAGGTTGTTTTGTTATTATGCTATTAAGTTTGATCCTTGATGTTTGTTTTAGTTGTCTTCGCGCTTGTGAGTTCTATGGTGCTGAGAAATGGAGATTTGATGCAAGTAGTACTGTGGTAGAACAGAAGAACCCAATGATATGCACTAAGATAAAAAGACTATTTGAACTCAATGTACAATACTACAGTTATGCTGTGGCCATGGTTGAATTTGTTAGTTTTGGATGTTGAGTTTGGTATCGATGATCTACAAGCAAAATTCTTGTTACCTAACTTAAATTTATTAAGTTTACATCTATAGGTCTCCTTATATATTTGCAATTTGTCAAATAGTGTGGTAGATATAGTTTCAGCCTTGTGCTTTGAAAAGATTTTCTGAAGGGAAGGTTATTGGGGAGTTATGCTCCTTTTATACACTTTCCCATCCACTACTCTTCCTGCAGGTGGGATTGAAGATGACTTTTGTGGAGGAAAAGTTTTTGAAGCTTCATAGCATAGTCCCCTCTAGGAATTATGTGTAGCTTCTGATATACGAATATGCGTAGGAGAGGATAATATGAAGTATATCTTGAGTCTAATTGTCATAACATGATTGGGTATGAAGTATGATTAATGGTTTAAAGTGGATGTACAGTTTGCAGTTGCTCTTCCTGAAAGTCACTAAGCATTAGACAGGGCAAAATAAGGACTGTAGGTGCTAATAGGTGCAGAGGCTTTACTTTGACTTGTTTAATTATTTCATTGATTTCGTTATGGATCTCCACAGTTTTTATATCTGGCTTTACAACTTGGTGTTCTTTCAGATAACTGAGCAACTACTCCTATAAATGACTTTTCTAACAGGTAGTTAAACAGTTTTTATATCTGGCTTTACAACTTGGTGTTCTTTCAGATAACTGAGCAACTACTCCTATAAATGACTTTTCTAACAGGTAGTTAAAAATGTTAGAAAAAGGTAGTCTATAGCAGTACTTTTTTCCTACTCAAGTTTTATGAGTGGGCATATGTGGCAGTGCCTGTTAATTATCTTTACAAAGCTAAGTTGGTCAATTTTCCTGTACAGGTAGGTTAGCTAACTCACATGTGGTTCAGCCTTATCTTGTGTTGTTAAACTGTTAGCGACATTGTATGCATTGCAAAATTCATCTCTTATGATCTATTTCAGCAAGGTTTTGTAAATCTCTTTGTAGGCATTGATATCCTTGTGCACCAATGAGTCAGTAGCTGCAAAAGGTGCACTTGAATTGTGTATGACTCAGATGAAGGTTGTGCTAAGCTCCCAACAGTTGCCCCTTGATTCCTCTATGGACAACGTAGCACGGGCTTATCATGCAACGGAAACTTATGTACAGGTTTGAAGAATGACAAACTGTATGGCACTCTGTAGTTCATAACTTGTAGATCAACTGAGACTCACTAATGTATATTTCCAGGCACTCTCTTATGCAAAGAGTCTACTTAAAAAGCTCGTTGGTAGTAGTGATTTGTCAGGTGGCTCTGAAAGAAGTAAGGAAGTTGATGATGTTTCTGTGGACACTGGCAGTTCAAGCACTGGGAGCCAGTATCTGGATGAGCTGTCTGATCTCCTGGCTCAAGCAGACATGTGGTTAGGGCGTGCAGAGCTTCTTCAAAGCCTGCTGGGATCAGGTATTATTGCTTCGCTGGATGATATAGCTGACAAAGAATCTTCAAGTAGACTACGTGACAGATTAGTCAGCGGTGAATGGTACAGAAAAAGTGCAAGGTATTGAACTTACAATTTGTTTGTGATTCTTACTACTTCATACTGGATAGTATGGCAATTTAATGTTGTGACCGATTTTTCAGATTGATGCTTTACCAGTATGGGTTGCATGGGGCCATGCATTAGTTCGAATGGAGCACTATGCTCAAGCCCGTGTGAAGTTCAAGTAAGGGAGAATTCTTCTGTATTTCTTGTTTTACTTTTACTTGGTACCAAAATAAAAGATAAGATATTGAGGGGAAAACATAAATATGTTTGCATTTACAGGGACATAAGTTAAACTATTAACTTAATAATTGTATGTGATCACGTGGTTCTCCTAAGTTGACAAAATCAACTATCATTTTCTTTGGTGGTTGTAAGCAAGGATATGGCTCTTGAATAATAGATTGATTAGAGAGGTATATGGTACAAGCATATATAGGCAAGGATTCCTAGGGTTTGGTTTATAAAAGTATAACAAATCAACAAATATCCTTGCCTATGACTATGGATGAAAACGGTACGGATATTTATTCGACCGTTCGTTCGACCGAACAAATATGAACACTTATCTGGATAGTTACTCGGATATCCGTAATTTTTTTCGGATACGGATACTAAAATGGATATCTTAGGCGGATATCAAATACGGATGTAATATCATCGATATCCGGCGGATATCGGATAATCCGGTTAAGTATCGGATATATCCGGATATTTAAAAACGGATATTATCCGGATATTATTCAAACGATTTTGGATGGAGAAATGATCAAAATAAAAATTGTAGATCTCAAAAAGTTATGAAACTTTGTTGTTTACAACTTTTTCGTTTGAAATCATTTAGTGCTTCAAAATTTAAACCGTCCAAACTTTCTCAAATAGAAAACTAGTTTATAAGCGTCAAAACTTAAAAATCACAAATTTGAACCATCCAAACTATTTCAAATGGAAAGTTGACCAAAACAACAATTGTAGATCTTGATGAGTTGAACAAACTTGGTATTCAAAACTTTTCAATTTGAAGTCATTTAGAGTTCATAATACTAGAGTCAAAGTGTTGTTTTTTCATTTGACCAAATTTGACTTGGTCAAACTTGCTCAAATGAGACACTAAATGACCTTAGATGAAAAAACTCTGAATACCAAGTTTGATCATCTCAGCAATATCTACAATTGTTAAATAGCTCATTTTCCCATTTGAGAAAGTTTTATCAAACACTAGTCACAAATTCTTGAATCTCATATAGACTTTCTGAAACTATGTCACATACTTGTGAAATTTGAACTATATTTTGTTCAAACTTTCTCAAATGAAAAATGGCCTATATAAGGATCGTAGATCTTGATGAGATGAACAAATTTGGTATTCAAAACTTTTCAATTTGAGACAATCTAGGGTTCCGAAAACTAGTTTGTAAACGTCGAAATTTAAAAATCACAAATTTGAACCATCCAAACTATTTCAAATGGAAAGTTGACCAAAACAACAATTGTATATATTGATGAGTTGAACAAACTTGGTATTCAAAACTTTTCAATTTGAAGTCATTTAGAGTTCATAATACTAGAGTCAAAGTGCTGTTTTTTCATTTGACCAAATTTGACTTGGTCAAACTTGCTCAAATGAGACACTAAATGACCTCAGATGAAAAAACTCTGAATACCAAGTTTGATCATCTCAGCAAGATATACAATTGTTACATAGCTCATTTTCCCGTTTGAGAAAGTTTTATCAAACACTAGTCACAAATTCTTGAATCTCATATAGACTTTCTGAAACTATGTCACACACTTGTGAAATTTGAACTACATTTTGTTTAAACTTTCTCAACTGAAAAAATAGTCTATATAAGGATTGTAGATCTTGATGAGCTGAACAAACTTGGTATTCAAAACTTTTCAATTTGAGACAATCTAGGGTTCCGAAAACTAGTTTGTAAGCATCGAAATTTAAAAATCACAAATTTGAACCATTCAAACTATCTCAAATGGAAAGTTGACCAAAACAACAATTGTAGATCTTGATGAGTTGAACAAACTTGGTATTCAAAACTTTTCAATTTGAAGTCATTTAGAGTTCATAATACTAGAGTCAAAGTGTTGTTTTTTCATTTGACCAATTTTGACTTGGTCAAACTTGCTCAAATGAGACACTAAATGACCTCAGATGAAAAAACTCTGAATACCAAGTTTGATCATCTCAGCAAGATCTACAATTGTTACATAGCTTATTTTTCCATTTGAGAAAATTTTATCAAACACTAGTCACAAATTCTTGAATCTCATACAGACTTTCTAAAACTATGTCACACACTTGTGAAATTTGAACAACACTTTGTTCAAACTTTCTCAAATGAAAAAATGGCCTATATAAGAATTGTAGATCTTGAATCCATGACCATGACTCCATGAGACCCATGAAGCCATGAGCTTGGCTATTTCTACTCATGCCGCGAAGATTGGTGCTTGTATGATGTTTGATGTATGATGTATCTGTATCTTTATCTTATTTGTTGCTTTACTCTTTAGTCTTTCGGCTTAATCTAGATGGATTATGGACTCATAGAGTGGTGTAATGGTTTCACATACGATGATGATATATATATATATGTCGCTTTTACTCAATATCCGAATAGATATTTGTATCCGACCTTCTCCGAATCCGATTCATACCGTATTCGATACTCATTATTCAGATGTCAGAATCGAAGTCAATCCGTATTCGTATATGTATCCGAACGCTATCCGTGTCCGAAGCGAAATATGAAAACAAATATAATATGAGTGATATCCGTTCGTATCCGATCCGTTTTCATCCCTACCTATGACTAATCATCTAGATGTACAACTACACTTGCTCCTTGGCACCAGTGGCTGCTTTGCGCTCGGCGTCCAGGCTGAGCGATGGCAGTGTCATGAGTAGCCTTGGTGTCCCCCGTGCGCTTCTTCTTGGTGCCGCATGTTAGTCGCTAAATTCTTACTCTTGCTAGTAGCAGAATTCTTACTCTCATCGAGAGAGGATGACACTAGGAGTTGGGACAATTTTCTGGTTTATTTCTTAATGCCATGCCAACCTGAGGGGTTGGGGATACATATTTATAGGCTGCTAGCCAGCCAAGCATATACCAAGATGCTAGTCTAAGATGCTAATATGCTGTCCTCTAAGATGTTGTCCTAAGATGCTGTCCTAGCTAAGATGTCATTGCATGCCATTTCACAAAGACCAAATTGCAAGGATGCTGTCCTCTCATTAAGATCTTTGCTGCTGACTAGTCCCACAAAGACTTGAATATCACAAAGTAACGGAGACTTATCCCATCACCGTAAAGCTCGTGAATCGGCGTGGCGGCGGCAGCTGTATGCACATTCCTTCCAGATCCGATCTGCGCTTTGGTGGCAGCAGAGCAATGTGGGGACAAAGACAGTCACACTGGAGTAAAGAGCCGCTGGGATGGTTATGGCACACATGGAGAGGTTGGGTGAGAGTAGGGTTTGGGTGGAACCGTGGAAGTGTTAGGTTGAGGATCAACCCTCTGATACCATGTAAGCAGTGGAAGATCCAAAGGGGGGGGGGGGCTCCAGCCCCCTAATGTCTTGATTTCAAGTCTAATCACTGTAGCAAAAGCTTGATTTCACCATTAAATCTTCATGCAAATCAACATCTCCATTGTTTTAGCCCCCCCTTATCCCGCATCGTGCATCCGCCACTGCATGTAAGCAAAGATACGGCTCTTGAATATTAGTCAAATTAGAGAGGTACACGGTACACATATATAGGCAAGGATTCCTATGGTTTGGTTTATAGAAGTATGACCAATCAACGGTATCTAACCATCTGTCAAAATGTACAAGAGGCACAAGGCCTATGTCCGCCTGGCCAAAGGGCCCAGCTGACTAAGCATGTTCTCTTAGATTTAGGATGTTGAATAGTTATAATAAAAGGAACCAAGGTTTGGTAACCAAACTGTACGAAGTGGACTCAACGAAATAAAAGAGGAAACGGAAAACAAGGTGAGAACAGGGAGGGGGAGGACATCAGCTCAAGAGATTGCAGATGGTTCCTTTAGCCTGTGTGCTTGAAGGAGGATGACATCTGTATTATGTACTTACCGTAACTCACCTTATTTTCTTCATCGTCTACAAACTATCTTTCTGACTGGCAAGTATTATCTGATTACGCTTACCATTTTTTTTAAAAAAAACATCTGCTTTTGTCCATACTAGAGTGCATGTTGAGAACAGTTTCTGTGTAGTCAACCTCTCAATAAGTGTACATGGATTTTCCGCTGTTATTGTTTCTTCCCTTTTGTTTATAGGAACATGGTGAAATCTTTTTATGCTACTTTAACTTAATTTGCCACTGAGCTAAGATTGCTGAAAAAGCTGCAATGCAGATAGAATGAGTGAATTTGTTCAGTAGCCACTGTCAAAGAGGAGAGGGTTGCAAAGCTGATCTCAAGCATACTGATTTTCACATTTTTATTAACTTGAGCATTTCATTTAATTTGTCAACCAAGGTCGTGCTTTTCATTACTTTTTTGTGTAACATTTGCATTTGTTTCTTTTTTCAGGCAAGCACTTCAACAATACAAAGGCGATGCAACTTCTATTGTTACTGAAATAATCAACACAATTGAAGGAGGGCCTCCAGTTGATGTTTCTTCTGTACGTTCCATGTAAGTTGTCAACATCAATGTTTCCATGTTTACTCTTCCTAGGTTCTTCAATTTGTTGGCCCTGGGGAACCGGTGTTCCCATCACCAAAAATATGCTTAGTTCAGTATGTTGCTATATTTAAAAAATTCCATAAAAAGATCATGTATATTAAGTTAGCGTACAAAAAGTTCAATTTCACAATCATCTTTGATACTGAGATTTTAAAAAACACAAGTGCTTGTTAGCACATGATGAACACAAGCGCTACATGTTAGTACGTGATGAATGATATAGGTTGACTGCTTGTGTACTTGGATTCTTGACATCTACGATGAATTAGGAGCTTTATTTTGCAGGTTCACCTGACTTTTATGTGTGCCACATATTTTATGAATATTTGGAACACTGCAACATGCTGAATTCACACAGTGATGCCTGAACATGTGGATACGAAATCTGCTCTCATAGTTTTAATTTGGATTTACTTTGTACTACCTCCTTTTACAGTTTTGAATGTCAACACTGCCTTGAAAACACAACTTTGACAGCTAATTGACACAGTAATATGTTTACAAAATCCAGTGAGATTTGTAATACTATAGTACCTTTTGACATAAATCTGCATATGGTTTTTGCATTTCCAATCTCAATTGGCACACCATTGTTGCATTTTGTTCCTTTTTTTTTGGGTAATTTTGCTATTGAACTTGCATCGCAGGTATGAGCATTTGGCAAAGAGTGCGGCAACCATCTTTGATGATTCCCTTTCTGCTGATGCTTATCTTAATGTTCTGTACATGCCATCGACATTTCCACGATCTGAGAGGTCCCGACAGTCCAGAGATCCTATAGACAACCAATTCACGTCTGCTAGTTCCTACCTTGAAGATGGTCCTCGCAGCAATCTTGATAGTGTTCGATATGCTGAGTGTATTCATTACTTGCAAGATGTAAGATTTGTACCCATTAATATGTATGCCACTTTTTGTTTAGTCAATCAAATTTTGTTCTGCAGGGTTACCCTGGAGTTTTCTTTTCACTTTCTAGATTCCCCAGTTCCACCATGCATATGAACACCTGAATCATGTATCCATTCCTTCTCACCCTTCTCATCTAGAGTGACCGATTTCCTACAGAATCTCGGCAATCTGAGCACAATCTTGTACCCTGTTTAAGTTTTGGTCTCGTTTACTCCTTTTGATTGCGTTTTTAGAAGTTGGATCTGATTCGATAATTCATCAGTTTATATTGATTTTTTTATTAATAATGATTTCTCTTGCATTCTTGCAGTATGCGCGGCCACAAATGCTTGCTTTCATGTTCAGGCATGGCCATTACACTGAAGCATGCTCTCTGTTCTTCCCATTCAGTCAACCAACCACAGAAGGGGAAACATCTTTGTCTTCAATTCCGAGCGATCCTTTAACAACTGATTATGGGACAATTGATGACTTGTGTGATCTCTGTCTTGGATATGGAGCTATGGCTCTTTTGGAGAATACAATACGGACAATAACACAATCGCCCACATATCATGAGGCACACATGATTCAGTACATGAACACAGTTCTCACTCGCATTTGCAACTATTGTGAAACACATAGGCATTTTAATTATCTCTACAACTTCCTGGTACCGTCAATATCTATTTGCATCTTTCTTTGGATTCCATAGGTTCACCGATTTTGAGGCAATTTATGGTTACAATGGTGTGATGTTTCAGGTTCTAAAAGATGACCATGTTGCTTCTGGACTTTGTTGTATTCAATTATTTATGAATTCAATGTCTCAGGAGGAGTCTTTGAGGCATTTGGGACATGCCAAGGTATAATTACATCTTATGTTCATTGTCTTTACCATCATAATACGCTATTCTGAATACATGTATATGTATGATAGCACAGCCAACCATGTGCACTGTTGACATGTATTTTGGAGAATGATTCTTTTGGATATACCAATCGCATAACAGTTAGGGTATAAAATCAATGTGAGTTAAGTCCTGAATAGTTCCCATAATGCTTTCTCGATTTACCTACATATAATTTCAGGTTCCAAAATGTGATCTTTGTTTCACAACAATGAAAATTCGGAATGATGAATGAAGAAAAAAATTTGGACCATGGTTAAGTACAAAAGTAAATATTTGGTTGTGTATTCTTATGCTCAGTTTCTTATGATTGCAGACACATTTCGAAGAAGCCTTATCTGTACGAGATAGGACAATCGAGGCTACAAAGTTGGTATTGCGGTCTGCTCGGAATAAGAGCGCACCTGGAAAAATGACCAGGGAAACAATAATGAAATATTCCACTCGTGTTTCCTATCAGGTGAGGGAACTGCCGGTTTCTGTCTTTTGCTCTGGTGCTTGGCTGGAGCTTCAAAGCTCCAGGAGCTGGTCATGGGTTGGGTAGAGGGGTTGGTTTGAGTAGCAGACTGATTGTGAGCCCCCTGCTGAGGTCGTCGTTGTTTTTGTTATTGGCGATTGTTGCTTTTGTTATCAGCGATTAGTACTGGTTGTATTTCTATTTTGCAATCTTATTCGGCCTCGTAGAGGACATTGAAGCGGTTGCTTTGTATGGGGCTCTTTATCCCCTTTTTCTCTCTGTAATATGATATAAAAGATGTGCAGCCCTCCTGCGCGTTCAGGAAAAAAAACACATGGATTATGAATTTAAGAGACCCAGCTAAATGTCTTGCGTAAAGCCAACGTGACTGTAGATTCTGTTAGCTCTATATTTAGTGTAACTTTGCAAATTTTGGTTCAAATGGCTAACCTAATTGTACATGTTGGCATTGTAGATGCATGTGGTGAAGGCCCTCAATAGTATAGATGGTCCTCAGTGGAAAACTTCCCTTTTCGGAAATCCAACTGACCCTGAAACTCTGAGGTTTGTATCATCTATTTGCCTTATAAGGTTGAATCCTTTTGAAATGTTCTAGGGGACAACTATATTCCCAACATCAACTGTGGCAAAGTTGGATTTACATTTTCCAGATCATGGTTTAGATTAAATGTACCATGTAAAGCTGTTTTCAGTGTTAGTTCATTGCGACAGTAGTACACGAAGTTTGTCCTCTTATTGTACATATATATACTGAATGATTACTTAAGCTTAACCAAAGTGGCATGTTTGGATGTGCTTGGACCCTGCCCATGGACACGGAATTTTTTTCCCTAGAACACACATGAGATCTGCGTATCATTTCATAATTCATATAAGAAGAAAGAAAAGCACACACAAGGGTGGATGAGGAGCTCTACTACCCAATACTCACAGGAACACACCCAACACAAGTGATCTCTAAGGATAACTGCTAAACAGCCTAGAAAGGACCAGAAACGACCAGTAACCTGGCAAAAATCACACACCCATAGAAAGCTACCTGACCAGGAGCTCTTGGGAGACTCTTAGCTCCAGCCAAGCACCACAAGATGCACTCATTTGACAGCCTAGTTCGACCTCCTCATTGTTCCCATTGAGACTACGCCTTATAAGTTATATTCTCCAGATTTTGCCTGTCTGCTTATGAGCATTGTTTATTAGATCAGAGCTTTACATGGGGACTCACTGTTCTTGTTTATTGTAATCCTGTGTATATGGTTAATATCATTTCTATTGGAATGGCACATATCTCAACCATTACTAGTATTAATTGCAGACCATATCCTTTGCTTCATGTTAACATACATCAGTAGCCTGACAGCTGGCTGCTTTTGGTTAGGCTAGATCAGAGGAGATTTACTCCTTTTATGTACACTCACCTCTATATTGATATTATGGCCTGCAGCAATGGGGAACTTATTCTGCCTCCCAGTTTTATTTGCTTTCAAGTTCAACGCACTTAGTCAACTTGTCCTTTTCTTTATAATTTGATGAAACTACTTTTTCAAACTGTGCGCTTATTATTTTGCAGGCGAAGGTGCATGGTTGTTGAAACGCTGGCTGAAAAGCATTTTGATTTAGCTTTCAGAATGCTTCATGAGTTTGATCTCCCAGGTATAAATATTGGATTCTGTGTGTGCTCATTTTGTTCATTTGATACTCAGAATTGATGTTTTTTTGACATGTTCTGAAGTATACGTCTCTTTACTTCAATTAACTTATTGTCTTCTTTGGTTCAGCTGTTGATATTTATGCTGGTGTAGCTGCATCCCTCGCAGAAAGGAAAAAGGGGGGCCAGTTGACATAGTTCTTGAAGAATATAAGGGGGACTATAGATGATGATGAATGGGATCAGGTTATAAGTGCTTTCCTTTTTGACAGTCTCAATTTTACCTTGTAGGATTTAACACGAGAAATAATATGAACATTCTTTGCATTATATTATATTATTCATGGCAAGTTCTTTTGGAACTTTAAGTTCTGCTTGTTAACATACGAGCTTTATCTAAATGTGTAAACATGTGTTACTCTTAGCTCATAGCTCAATATGTCAAATATTTGTATTTAACACTATAATCTTATTTGGCAGTTCCTATTGATGTTCTAACTGATTGATTTACTGAGATATTTGTTAACTTGCTAGGTTCTTGGTGCTGCTATAAATGTTTATGCCAACAAGCAAAAAGAAAGACCAGATCGCCTCATCGACATGCTAATCAGCAATCACAGGTAGCCACTGCTAACAACAGAAACAAAATTTTAATTAGTGTTACAGATGATTTTATTACCTAAATTGCAGCATTTTGTTGTCTGTGGACAACAAAGTACTGATCTCAGTGTTTCATGGCTGGATAATGCTTACTGTCAGTAAGCCTTGGTGCTTATAATGAATTCCTTTTCTGATCTTGTACTTTTCTAAATAATTTATAAACTTGCAGGAAAGTACTTGCTTGTGTTGTCTGTGGACGTCTAAAAAGTGCGTTTCAAATAGCCTCACGAAGTGGAAGTGTCGCTGATGTTCAATATGTTGCTCATCAGGTTAGTTATCTTCATAAATTTACAGATGTTTCCTACTTCGCCCTGTTCGCTTGGCTTATAAGCCGTACTTTTTCAGCCAACGAACAATATTTTTCTCTCACAACAAATCAGCCAATAACACTTTTAGCCATGGCTTATCAGCTGAACGAACAGGGCAATTATTAATTATCGAATGAATTTGTGTCATGTTGCATCTCTCTACTACCATCAATGACTTATACTCCCCCTGCCCCCCTTCCAAACTATAGTTCAGCTTTGTACTACTCCCTCTCACAAAATTACTGTTGTTTTAGCTTTGAAAGTACCACAAAGAGTGTTGATCGTCTAGCTATGAAAGTCAAATATTTGTCCTGGTTCATTTGTTTAGGGCCTGTTTGGAAACATCGGATTATTCTGCACCTGTAAAATCATTACACCTGTAATTTTCTGCGCACAAGAAACCAGTGGTACTTTTACTCCCGTGGAAACTGTTGTTTGGGTAAGCAGAAAGACAGTCGCGCAAAACTGCAAATTAATAATTGAGTACAAAGCTTTTTGCTGAAAACCCCTTAACTACTGCATCACATCAAGCATCAATTAGAGCTAACAGTTAATCATATTTCGTATCACAACTGAAATCTGAACGAGATTTTAGATCGAAGCATAAAAAATGAGACAAAAAGTTCAGGTCAGAGCTCAAATAGAAGTGGCAGTGGACAAAACCAGTACTGCAGTACACATGGTTGAACATGAGAACTCCATGAGAGCAAGCACCAAAGCAGTACTGCAGTCGGCATGCTGTGCGCTGATGAAGCAATTGCTGGGGAAGCACAAAACCAGGAGAGAGGCTGGAGGAGGACGGAGTACAGAGTGGCCGGCGAATTGCAGTCATCTGAGCCACAACCGGAGAGGAAGCCTGATATGTGCAGAGACCAGATCCAAATAGCAGGACACAGCGCTATGCTCGATGCGGCCTCGTTTCGCGGCAAACTTGACAGGGTGAGGTGTTGTGCTGCCGTGTTGCCGGAAAACCACCGCCGTGCTGCTGAACTAAACGCTTCTTCCTTCATTCAACTTGAGACCACCGCCGTACTGCTGTTGGAGGCGGGTGGGACCGTGGGAGCAGGGCGGGTGGGAGTGGAGGTTGGATAAGGTTAACCTCGGAGGAGAAGAAAGGGCCATGGGAGATCAAGAAGAGGTGGCGCTTGAGGTTAGATGGGCTCACCGCCGCTGCCGCCGCCGATTATGATACACGCAAGCCGTGGCTTTCTGAAGATTGGGAGCGTGACCTCCCCCCGATAAACGTCGGAAAAATAGTAGGACCTCCAGAGGCAATTATTTTTTTCCGGCCGTTTTGGACGAAAACGGTTGTAAAAAAATTAGCACCACCTGTCATCCAAGCAGAGAGTTTGCGTTCCGTTCGGAAAAAAATTAGCCCCAGTAATTTACACCGGTTTTAGATACAATACTTCCAAACAGGCCCTTAAGGAAAAATACTCTTTGGAAGTGCATTTTTTGGGGTGAAAAAGTTGCTGCAGTGATGGATATCAATTGCCGTGCGCGTTGTCCTTTGTGGCTGTATCAATGACAGGACGTATAAAGCATGTCCATTAACTCTGCACCAGATGTAGTGATTACAACGTTGTAGGAGTGTGCAGGTCATTTTCCTTCTTTCCTGGTATACACCACGAAAACGACAGTATATTTGGGACGAATGGAGTAAGTCAAAACTTTGACTAAGTTTTTATTTAGAAAAATATATTAGCATCTACGAGTTCAAATAAACGCACGAAGGCATATTTCATGGATTATTTAATGAAAGTATTTTGATATTATAGATGTTAATCCAATTTTCTATAAACTTGGTCAAGGTTAGAGAAGTTTGACTTAGGACAAAAGTAAAGTGAACTGTAATTTGGAACTTGGGGAATAAGTTAAATATCTTCCACTCATCAGTTGCTATAGTATCTGGTTTGGTCCCTTAATGGGCAGGGTCAAGTCTGAACCTTTTCTAGTTATTTGTTTGGTCTGTGAACTTTAAGAATCATGCCATTAATCATGTCCATGAGGAATGTCATTGGTCTCGATTAGAAAATGTTGAAGTGTGAAGTTTTCTTGAGTAATTGACACAATCACAAGGAAGGCCACCTATTTCTGCTGCGCAATTATCTAGAAGTTTTGATTTAAGTCTAAAAATAATACACTTATAGGTTTAGGGCCTGAAATATATGTGCCCTCGAAGTTGAGTGACAAAAAACATGACTCCTCCCAAGAGATAGTACTTATACCCCCTCCTCACCTCTGTATTTTTATTTGGTTCTGTTTTCTGAGTCCATATTACCTTTTTTTTTGTAGGCATTACATGCAAATGCATTGTCGGTACTTGACATGTGCAAGCAATGGCTCGCTCAGTACATGTGATACCATAGACGCTGACTTGCTGAGAGAGTTCTCATGTGAAGACAGAGAAAAATAAAGTAATCAAAGCAAAGGAACATAATTCTTGTCTGGGGCGATCATCTGAAAGCTGAAGGTGTTCAATCCTCATTCCCCATCTCAACATCTTTCCACTTTGTGCAACACAGTGCCTCCATGTATATATGCCTCTTAAGTGCCTATTCGTTGTACTATCCCTTGTGGAGAGGTTATGCCTCTTGCATTTTTGGTCTCTGCTATGTTGTAAAGCTTTGTAATTCCTTTACTTCCCCATCCAGTGGGACGAGTTTAATTGTATGCGCTTGGCAGCCCACAAAGCAGCCAGTGCCAAGTGCCAACTTTTCCTTGCTCGCACCGATCCTTGTGAAAATTTTGGTCGATTCTCTTATTCTCAATCTTTTGTGATGCTTCAGTAGCTTATGGCATGTCTGGATGAGATTCTAAAATCTGGATCGTGGGTAAAAGTAATCGTTGAGGTTTCTTGGATTCTCTAGAATCATAGGGTGTTTGGATGGAATTTTAGAATTTTGGGATTTTTTTTGCTATCTAGATTCTTAGAATCCCTGTGGATCTAAACGCTACCCTAGATGAGTCTTGGTACTGATGGTATAGGATGCTTTATTAGGTCTCTCTGGCGCTTTCATGTCCTAGTTTTTAAGACGTGTGTTGAAAACAAGGTAGATAAAAACTCGTTTCTTCCATATAAAATTTCATCATCTCTTGTATACTATGTCCTGCTAGCTTGTCTAACGTCCATAAAACTCTCAACAAACCTTCGCTGAGACTGGAGCTGTCTCATTGTCCTCGTATTAACATAGAACCAATCTTTGTATCGTGCTTACAATTGTGAATATAATTATTTATTTATAGCTGATAGGTACTCTAATGTCTGATTTTGGGAACAAGGTTTTAAATAGCGGCTGCCTCCTTCAGGAGCGCTATAGGGATATAGCGCAAGTTCTATTATTTAGTGGTTTTATAGGCAACATGAAAATTTTAATTAATTATGCAAGAAAATATGTAAGGAGATTTTATGAACATAAATACTTAAATGCATATGCATATCTCTAGAAGATGTCTACGGCTCTATTACTTAACACTTGTTAAGTCAATAAAAAATACTAAGGCTACAGGGTTTCAAAAAAATACTAAGGCTACAGGATTAACATATTCATCAACAACCACAATCAATAATTCAATAATTATTTGTTGGTTCACTATATCATTTATTAAGTAAAGAAAATAATGGGGAGGAATAGATTATAGTCATCTGCAGAGTAAAAAAAATGAATACTTGTAATTAGCAATGCTAAAAATATTTTACGGTTAACTTAAATAGCACGGAAACTAAAACGTCATTAATTATAAGCAAAACAATTAGTAATATTGTAACGGTTGGATTGTAAAAAAACACCATATTCTGTTCTGCAGCACTATTTCTACGGTTCCTGCACGATTCCTGCAGCGAACGAACAATATTTTCCTCACATAATTTAGCGTAAGCCAAAATTTCAGTGAAACAAACAGGGCCAACAAAACCCACATCTCCAACGTATCGAAAAAATACTCCCAAAAATAGGGTTTCCAACCTTTACAAAATATATTGGGAGACATAAAAAAACTACAAATCCAACGATTTTCAAAATCTCACGCCTAAAAGAGAGACTGGATTTTACATCAGGATTCCTAAACTATTTCTAAATCACACTGACCGCTTTTATACTTTATTTCTCTCTTTACACTTGCATCAGGAACCCTATCCTACTTTGTTTTCTTCCCCATGTCCTTCCACCTCCATATTGGCGCGGTGATACACGAGCGTAACTTTATGCGCGTGGGGGTGGTTTTTTGCGGGTGCCAAAAGATTGGGAGGTGGGTTTGAGAGTTGTCGGAGACGGGTTTTTTGTTTCAATTTCAAAATTCCCGAATTGGAAGACTGTTTTGAGTACTCTTGGAGATGCTTAGATGCTTAAAAAAAGATATGAGGCATCACCAACTGGGTGACACTGTGCTAGTACATTGACAACCATTGGCATGCGATTTTATACCTATATATGCTATTGGCCTTCAACTGGATTTCTCCTTACCGTGTTTGCCTTGACCACTTGAGTCCATCCCCGGTGATGGCAAATATCCTAACTCCTCTGGCGACCGGCTCCAAGTGCATCATTGATTGTCGCCAATTGACCTTGCCAATTGATACAACCGCCTTAGGGTTTGTTTGGTTCAACTGCGCAGTGGAAAAACTTTTTGTGAGGTATATGCAGTAGAAAAGTTGTAAGTTTTTTTGGTTGAAACTGCTATGAATCCTATCCCCTATCTCTATCTCCTTTAAAACAACTTTGAAACATCTTGTCGGGTTCATAAACCCGGGGTCCCCAATGGACCCGCTTCCGTGCAAAACCCGGCCCAGCAGGCAGCGTAGCGACAGCACACGCCTGGGCCGGCCCAGATACATAATGACGGGCCGAGACAACGATCCGGTCCCCGACCGGAAGGCCTGGCCAAGGTGGGACCGCAGTCCGACTCTGAACCCCTTCTCCGACTGAGGATACGCCGGACCTCTACTCGTTGCTCTTTCTCGACTGATACGGTCGGGACCGACTGGGAACGATTGACCGGGGATGCCCGCTCAGTGTGGGCCCGGGGAGCAGGCGGAGCAGATAAGGTAAGGCGCTCAAGTCAGCCGTAATACCAAGGATTGTACCCTGCCATGCCATGCGCACCTACAGGACAGTGCTATCGGGGCATGTCAGGCGAACACGGTAGAGCCTGCCAGACACGTCAGAGTATAAATAGTATTGTGGGCGCCATCGTTTGCCGTACCAGGCGAACATGATAGAGCCTGCCATATGTGTCTAAACATAAACAGTATTGTGGGCGCCGACGGCCATTCCGTACCCGATGATGTGGGCAACAAGACTAGGCAGCACACGTATACACACTCTCTCTTCCACTCAGTTCAGAGTCCGACCGGGCCTCTAACACCCCCTTCTCATTCCTTACTCTTTTGTAACCCCACAGCAAACTTTGAGCACCTGAGCTCAGGAATAAAGTCACCGACCGACCTTAACTGGACATAGGGCCTGTTGCCTAAACTAGTATAAATCCTATGTCATTGAGTGTTAGGCCACATCCGATCACAATGCACGGTAAAACTACAAATATTTACTTGTTGGTCACTTTTCGCACCGACAGTTAGCGCCGTCCGTGGGGAGGACATCGTGCATTCACGCCTTTGGTCATCGGATGACACACCTTTCCACCATCTTTGGCATGGCGGGCTCGAGCGATACGATTCGCTTTGGCTCACTGGAGTTTCCCACGCTCCCACTTGCTGGGATGTGGGCTCCTCTCGTCTTCGTGCCACCTAGACCTTCCTCTTTGGAAGTTTGGACTTTGTCGCCGACCAGCTTGGCGTACTTCGCCTCCACGAAGAGGCGCTTGTCCCAGCGCCCATTGGAGGAGGAGCACACTCCACTGACTGCAACAGGCCACTCGATGACCTCAACATCGAGACACCCACGCTTTGCCTCGAGCCCTTGCTGGGCTCAAACCCCACGGTGAGTGATGTACATATTGTTCTTTACTCACTATTTAACATCTTCTACCGACTCTCCGGAGGGACCCCGTTGTCCCCACCGTGACCGCTGTGCGACCGGTTCTCCTACGGCTTTGCGTCCCCCGTGGACGTGTGCGCATGGGGACTCCGAAGGATGCTGATGCCGCCCCCTCTCACATCTGAGTTCATGGGGATGGCGGGCTATGCTCCCGCCTCTTTTCACAACCTTGTCAATGACGAGGTCGAAAGCGATGGCTCTAGTGTCGGCGATGTCATGGCACCTGGCCACCCTCTATCCCGAGAGTGTGCTATGGCGGATGCCCCGGGATAGCCACCGGTGGTAGTGGAGTCTCTGCAGACTCACACCCCTTCGGACCCCCGTGTGCAGGCCCTAGCGCGTGAATAGCAGCACGTCGAGGAGTTACGGCAAAGGCGGCAGAGCCAGCCGCCGCCTACGCCGGAGCGCCCGGCGCATCACACTACACCACATGCGCATAACCCGACGAGCGGCGCTCAGGGTCATGCCCATCAGGTCCAGCGTAACATACTGGATGGAGGGGATGACCCCCTTTAGTTTGCTCGGGCTGGCCAAAACATCGCTGCTGCGGCGATGCTTCTGCGCGGCCTTCTTGAGCCTGCTGACCCCTAGGAACAGGCAATCCACCGGAACCTCCGGGCGCTGGTGGAGACCGCCATCGTTCAGCAGGCGGAGAGCTCTGCATCGCTACACCGGCTCACGGTCTCTTGCCCAATCGGGGGACTGGGGCCGCACCAATCAAATCACTCCATCCACTCACCGCAGCAGTTGCCGAGCGTGGAGCAGGAAGCGGTGGCTGCACTACAGCCCAACCCGGCGCCCGCTCCACACCGACCACCTGTGCGTGAATGGCTTGGGCCGAACCATGCTCGCAACGTCATTAACAATCGATGCCACGCCCGACATGATGATAACGCCCATCGAATGGCGATGAGAGCAGGCGACACAGGTCCCGGCCTGACCATCAAGGAGTGCGAGAACACACACCCCAAGCATGGTGGCCGACCAAACGACCAGAGCCCTAGCCCAGATGGCCCGGGGCCACGGGCCTTCGGTCGTCGCATCCAGAAAGCATCATTCCCACATCGCTTCCGACCGCCCACCAACATCGCCAAGTACATCGCCTGCCGAGCCAGGAGTAGATGATGACTACTTCATCATCTAGTACCTCCCCATCTGCGTGGGGGAGCATGTTCAAGCATGGCTCGAATTCCTTCCACCCGACAACATCCGTGACTGGGCGGATCTCAAGAGGGTCTTCGTTGGAAATTTCTAGGGGACGTATGTCCGTCCTAGGAATTCCTAGGACCTCAAGAGCTGCCAGTAGGAGCCCAACAAGTCCCTGCGGGATTACATCCATAGGTTCTCAAAGCAGTGCAACTCCAT